CCTTTACTTGTCTAAATCCTGCTCATTTTCCAAGGATCACAATAGGTGCTGTGTCTCTAATCTTTATGAATTATTTGGTCAAGATAATTTTGCTGTCCTTAGTGTACCATAATTCTCTAAGCCACCTAAAATTACATATTTAAGAAATCCACAATATGTCAGCAACATTAAAGGGAATATTTTAAAAGAAAAAAAAAAATTTCTTTTGTCCTGGATATTGACTCCAGGGGCACTTTAGCACTGAGCTATATCCCTGGTCCTTTAAAATTTTTTTTATTTTGAGACAGGATCTCGCACATGTGTGTGTGTGTGTGTGTGTGTGTGTGTTGCTGAGGATTGAACCCAGGGCCCTGTGCATGCAAGGCAAGCACTCTACCCACTGGACCATAGCCCCAGCCAAGACAGGGTCTCTTTACATTGCTGAGACTGGCCCAAACTTGCAATCCTCCTACCTCATCCTTCCATTTTGTGGGATTATAGATGTGCTCCACCATGCTCAGCAAAATGAAGTATTTATAATTTTATTACCCTAACATAACATTTTCATTATTGCATATCCTTTTCTAAATTTACAAATATTCATAACATTTAATTGTTGAAATCATGGGTGGCCAGGCTCCGAGGTGCATGCCTGTAATCCCAGTGGCTCTGGAGGACCACAAGTTAAAAGCTAGCTTCAGTGATTCAGCAAGGCCCTAAGCAACCTTGTCTCTAAATAAAATATAAAAAAAGGACTGGGGATGTGGTTCAGTGGTTAAGTGCCCATGGGTTCAACCCCTGGTACAAAAAAAAAAAAAAATCATGGTATATGTATAATTTTCTTATATTTTCTATTAGATCACATCATAAGATTTTTTGAAAAATTTTATCATTGTGTGTGGGGGGTGGGTAGGTATCTGAATTTGATGCCAGGGGTGCTTTACCAGTGAGCTACATTCCCAGCTCTTTCTTTTATTTTTAATTTTTTTTTTTTTTTTTTTTTTTACTTTTTGAGACAGGTCTTGCTAAATTGCTGAGGTTGGCCTTGAATTTGTGATCCTCCTGCCCCAGCTTCCTTGAGTACCTGGGATTATAGGTGTGTGCCATGGTGCCTGGCTTCTGTCATCATTTAAACATATATACTATGTATATTTAGCCATTCTTATAAAATTGGATGTAAATTTTGGTTTTAATTTTTATTCATAGATAATGCCATAAGTTTTACGTAATTATATTTTCCTCTTTCTTTGTATTTTTTCCTCTTGGAACTATTCCTTTATGTTAATTCTTAACAGTAGGATTACTAGAAATGTATTGAGTTATTTTTGATTTCTAACTTGCTTACCTCTCCTCTAGTCAGTGAATCACCAAGTATGGTTGATCCTTTGATAATGCATTAGCATCAGTGTCTTCTTTGAGTTCTTTTTTAGCCAATTCTGCCTCTTCATGCCAAGATTACTACAGTCTTAGGAGGCTGAGGCAGGAGGATTGCAGATTTAAGTCCAGCCTGAGTAATTTAGAGAGACCCTGTCTCAAAAAATACTAAGGGCTGCGTCTATAGCTCAGGGGTAGAGTGCCCCGAGGTCAATCCCCAGTAACCAGGGTGGGGATGGGGGAGAAGAAAAAGATTATTGCAGTCTTTTTTCTAACTGGTTTCCTTAGACTCCAGTGTTTTTCTTTTCCAATTTACCTTCTCATCATGCCGGATTAACTGGTCTAAAACACTGTTTTGAATAAAGGATTTATTCATATCCAAGGCTTTACAAAAATGCTTTGGATAAAGGATTCATTCATTTGACAAGTGTTTAGTGAATGCATGCCATGTGCCACATATTAAACTCCTTAACTGGCATTCAAGATCTGAACATTGGCCTTTCACTATACCAGTCCTTTCTTTGGCTCAGCCAGACTCCTCTACTTGCCATCTCCTGAAAATGCCATCTGTATTCTCACATCTGAGTTTTTGTTTTAGAATGGACTTCTGTTTCCAATCCATTCTGTCTGCTTTCTCATTTCCTATAGTTTGACCCTTTCTTCAGAGCCCACACTAGTCTTAGTCCTTTCATGAAGCTTTTCAGGTTTTTTTTTTTTATTCTTTTGTTTTTATTCTTGTGTCTAACTATCACTCCTGGCCAAAAAATATCCTCCATATTTCTTTTACTCATCTGATAAAGTCCAAATTCCTTGACCTTGTTTCTAAGACCTAAGATCTGGCCCCATTTCCCTTTTTCTTGCTACTGGGGATTGAATCCAGAGTGCTTAACCAACTGGATCATGTCCTCAGCCCTTTTTAATTTTTATTTTGAGCCAGGGTCTCACTAAGTTGCTTAGCTAGCTAAATTGCTGAGGCTAGTCTTGAACTTGTAATCTTCCTGTGTCAACTTCCTGAGTTGCCTGGATTACAGGCATGTGTCTGATCTGGTCTGGCCTGGCCCGATTTTTCATTCCCAGCCTGACTACTGCTTTTTTCTTTTTGGGGGGTACTTGGGGTTGAACCCAGGGATGTTTTACCACTGAGCACTAAATTACATTCCCCAATCCTTTTTTTTTTTTTTTCTTATTTTGAGATAGGGTCTAAATTGCTTAGGGCCTCCCTAATTACTGAAGCTGACCTTGAATTTGGAATCCTCCTGCCTCAACCTCCCAAGTCCCTGAGATTACAGGTGTATACCACTACATTTAGCTGATATTTGCATTTTGAAAAAAAAATCAATTAATGGAAAAATACATAATCCTCATAGGAGGTCCTAGATTTGATTTTTCTGCCGTAATCCCAGCAGCTTGGGAGGTGGAGGCAGTGAGTTCACCAGCTCAGCAATTTATCGAGGTGCTAAGAAACTCAGTGAGACCCTGTCTCTAATTTAAAGAATACAGAATAGGGTTAGGGATGTGACTCAGTGATCGAGTGCCCCTGAGTTCAATCCCTGGTACCCCCCACCAAAAAAAGTACTACAGTTTTTTTTTTTTTTTAACGAGTAATTATATATATAATTTTAAAAAATGGTTTTGCCATTTCTCTTTTTCCAGGTTATCCCTATTAAAGTAAACAACATTAAAGGCTTGGTATGTGTCCTTCCACACTTTTCTCTTTGTCCTCATACACAGACAACATAGAATTTCTGTTTTGGTGCTGGGAATCAAACCCAGGGCTACATCCATGCTAAGAAGCGCTCTACTACTAAGCTACACCTCCCGCCCTTTTTTTAGACAGGGTCTTGCTGTGTTGCCCAGGTTATTCTCAGACGCCTGGGCTCAAGCAATCTTCTTGCTTCAGCCTCCTGAATATTGGGATTACAGGCATGACCTATGTTCATAGACCTTTAAGTCCTGCCTCATGCTTCACCAAAAATGGGACCCATACTTTCTACCAGAGGTTCTGAAAGTGTTCTCCATGACTCTTGGAGATGGGGGTGGTGCAGGGGCCTTAAAAACCCTTTTAGGAATTCTGTAAGCAAAAACATTTTCACAGCTGGGTGTGGTGGTGCTTGCCTATAATCCCAGCAGCTGAGGAGGCTGAAGCAGGTGTTTCCCAAATTCAAGGCCAGCCTCAGCCATTTAGCAGCCCCTGTCTTACAAAATAAACAAAACAAAAACCTGTCAGATATATTTGACAGTCATTCTTTTGAAAATGAAGGAAGGAAGCAAGCCTGTCATTTCAGACGAGATCGTGAGATCGGGCATGTTCAGGGTGGTATGGCCGTAGACAAGCCTGTCATTTCAAGGAAAACAACTGACAATATTTATTATCAATGATAAAATTCAAACCCTCCAAAATTAGAAAATTAGAAGTTTGGGAAACTTTAGCCACTGTGAAATTTACAACTTCCTAGTGCTTACAGACTTTTCTGAGGAAATTAGTGCATTTTTTTGAATTGTAACATAAATAAATACATAACATTGTAAAATAAGACTATAAAGAGAGCTGGGCATAGTGATGCCAGCCTGTAATCCCAGCTCCTCAAGAGGTAGAGGTAGGACCATTGCAAGTTTGAGGCCAGCCTAGGCAATTTATCAAGACCGTATCTCAAAAAATAAAAAAATGGCTGGAGATGTAGGTCAGTAGTATAATGCCTCTGGGTTCAATGCCCAGTACCAAGGGTTGGGGATGTAGCTAGCTCAGTGGTGGAATACTTGCTAGCTTGTATGAGGTGCTGGGTAAAGGGTTCCTAAAGTAAAAAGGTTTGAGGACCTCTACACATTATCCTATAACTCACTTTTTCACTTAGTGTACCATACACACTATTCAATGGTAGTACATTTATATTTAACATCCCCCCCTTTTTTTTGTACTGCTGAGGGGATGCTATAGCACCTGGCAGCTATATCTAACATTCTTTTTAACAACAGTATGGTGTTCTGTTGTGTGGATGAACCAAAGCCATTTAATCATTCATCTGTTGATCACCACTTAAGTTACTTTCAGCTTTTTGCTAATTCAATAATTATCAACAAGTATCCTTTATGTATACTCTTGTGTACTTGGTGCTTTTCTTTGATGTCCTCTTACAATTGTTTTGTGTTTCTTTCTCTCTTTTTTTTTTTAAGCTGAAGATTGAAACCAGGGATGCTTTACCACTGAGCCACATTCCCAGCAGCCCTTTTCATTTTTTTAAATTTTGAGACAGGGTCTTGCTAAATTGCAGAGTCTGACCTTGAACTTGTGATCTTTTTGCCTCAGCCTCCAGAGTTGCTGAGATTATAGGCATGTGCTACTGCACTCAGTTTTTGATGGAGTCTCACTATGTTGCCCAAACTGGTGAATAATTGGGTCTATGCCTATCCTCTCTTGCCAACTAAATTATAAAAACAAAAGCTCCTTGAGGGCAAGGGTGGTATGTTGTATAGTGCATAGTTACTCAGTAAATAATGATGACAGGGATTGGGGTTGATAGAAGAAAATATAACTTAGCAGTTTGCATTTGGTAGACAAGATAGGTGCTAAGGGAAATGCACATTTACGCATTCTTTCATCTTAGAAAATAAGAAAGAATAACTCTCCACCTTAATCTCTCTCATTTCAGGCAAGTACATCGCCTCAACACAGCGACCTGACGGGACCTGGCGCAAGCAGCGGAGGGTGAAAGAAGGCTATGTGCCCCAGGAGGAGGTCCCAGTGTGCGTGGTTAGGCTTGAGAAGGGCTAGTTAATGGGGTCCTTCCAGAAGTATAAATTATGTGTGCCCATAAATTCAGGGATGACTCTCCAGTACCCCAAGGAAATGGAAGGAAGGGCACTGAAGAAAGGAGAGCAAGGTGCTGGGTGGGGTTCTCAGATGACTGAGGGTTACATGTGACTAGTCTTGATTCTATGACCTCTGATAATCAGAACCTCCAAATGCCAGTCACAATTTCAGATCCTTGGCACCCTCCAACAGCCTCTCCTGCAGAGCTAGGCAAAGTGGGGGAGGCACCTAAAGAGAGGAGGGAATTGGGAATGTTATGAGAATGAAGTGATTTGGAAGATTAAGAATCAAAAAGTCAGTGATTCTTAGAAATTTGTTGACTTCTTTTGTTTTCTGCAGGTATGAAAATAAATACGTGAAGTTTTTCAAGAGTAAACCAGAGCTGCCTCCAGGGCTGAGCCCTGAGGCCACCACTCCTGTTACCCCATCTAGACCTGAAGGTGGTGAACCAGGCCTCTCCAAGACAGCCAAACGCAACCTGAAGCGAAAGGAGAAGAGGCGGCAACAGCAAGAGAAAGGAGAGGCAGAGGCCTTGAGCCGGACTCTTGACAAGGTGTCCCTGGGAGAGACAGCCCAACTCCCCAGTGCTCCACAAGGCTCCCACTCAGCCTCAACAGCTGCTTCTGACCCACCTGATTCAGCTGCCACCACTGAGAAAGCCAAGAAGATAAAGAACCTAAAGAAAAAGCTTCGGCAGGTGGAAGAGCTGCAACAGCGGATCCAGGCTGGAGAAGTCAGTCAGCCCAGCAAAGAGCAGCTGGAGAAGCTAGCAAGGAGGAGGGCGCTGGAGGAGGAGCTAGAGGACTTGGAGTTAGGCCTGTGAGGCCTTTGTGAATAGGGAATGGACTGCAGAACAAACCGTGGGGCTCTCTGGGGTCCAGGGAAGTGTGGGCAGCAGCGGTCAGGAGGGGAACCCCTCATACTGACTCACTTCCACCTCTCGCTGCCCAACTCTGCCCTCCAGAGCCTAGCCTCTCCCTCATTCCTTCCCTTTTCTTCCAACTCCTAATTTTGGGACTTTCTCCCTCTCATTCCCAGTGTTCAAAATCTCAGTGTCTACCCCAGGTACCTTTGCTGCTGATTTGGGTGTCTTGTTTAAAAGAAAATCAGGTGGGTGGGACTCTCTTGGAGAACTGAGGTGGAGGGTAGAGGGAGTACGCCCAAATCTTGGAGTCTTGGTTCCTGTTCACAGTGTTTGAGTTATTTCCCTGTCTATCCTAATATCTCTCTCTTCCCCCACCCCACTTTGTCTCTTTCTCTCTCTCTCTGTTTTTCTTTTTTTAAAGAACAAGAATAAACTCAAGTAGACATGTCTGGCTTTGTCTCTTTCTTTCTTTTTTTGTGGTGCTAGGGATTGAACCCAGGCCTTGTGCATAGAAGGCAAGTACTCTACTAACTGAGCTGTATCCCCAGCCCTAGGCTTTATCTCTTTGTTTTATCCCATAAATTTGGCCCAGAAATACACATGTTGGGAGTAATATTTCTTTTAATTTTAAAAAATTATGAGTGTATTACCAAATTAGCAACACTGATTTCTGTATATGTCTACTCAGATATCAGTAAATAGAAATTAGTCTTAGAATCTAATGAAACTTGGAACAGATTTTTTGTTGTTGTTATTTTTAGATATACATCAGAGTGTGTATGTGTGTTTATTTATTTATTTTGTTTATTTATTATTTATTTTGTTTATTTATTTTTATGTGGTGTTGAGGATCGAACCCAGGGCTCCGCGCATGCTAGGTGAGCGCTCTACCACTGAGCTACAATCCCAGCCCAGTAGAGTATATTTTGACATTATACACACATGGAATGTAACATTCTAATTAGGATCACATTCTCGTGGTTGTACATGATGTGGAGATTAATTGTGGTATATTCATATATGAACATAGGAAAGTTAAGTCCATTCTACTATCTTTCCTATTCCTATACCTGCTCCCTTCCTTTCATTTCCCTTTGTCTAATCCACTAAACTGTTCTTCCCCTCCCGCACTTGTTGTGTGTTAGCATCCGCATATCAGAGAGAACATCCAACCTTTGGTTTTTTGGGGATTGCATTATTTCACTTAGCATGATTGTCTCCAGATCCATCCAGTTACCAGCAAAAGTCATAAGGTCATTTTTCTTTATGGCTGGGTAATATTCCATAGTGTGTATATATCACATTTTCTTTATCCATTCATGTAGAACAGATTTTTCTGTTGTGCTGGGGATTGAACTCTCATGCTAGGCAAGAGCAAATTTTTTTTTATTTGTTGATGGACCTTTATTTTATTTATTAATATGCAGTGCTGAGAATCAAACCCAGTGCCTCACACATGCCAGGCAAGTGCGCTATTGCTGAGCCCCAGCCCTAGCCCAGCAAGAGCAAATTTAATTTAACTTGCTAATTTATGTGTTGTTCTTATTGTGCCATAATATCAATGGAACTTTTGTACATTTATTGTTTCTTGACTTACTTCACAGCTGTACCTAGGACAGTTCTTCTCAGATACCACACTAAGATGGCATTATGGGGTAAACTAATGATATGAATAGAGGAATTTATAAACAAAAGTACCTGTTATTCAATTTTGTAATACCTGTGATACCCACCCTCAGTTAATCACAGTCATAATTTACTGTAGAGGTGAAGGGAGGAGAAACTCAGCTGAAGTCAACTATCTCAGGAATTCAGAATTCTTAACTTGACTCAGGGTCCTACATAATCCAGTACTACTTAACTTCAGCATTATTTTCTTTGATTTTCCAACTCTGGTCTAACTATACTCCAAATAAAATTAACTGCTTTCAGTCGATCAAATGAACCATATTCTTTTTGTGCCTCAGTCCTTTGCTTCTGCTGATCCTGCTACTTAGAACACTTCTCCTGATGGTCTTCCTGGTCAGCTTTCTCTTAGCCTTTGGATCTCTTAAATGTTATCCTCTTTGGGAAGCCTTTCTTTACCCTCAAATATTAATTTAGGTGCCCTTCTTATTTGCTTCCTTTGTCCTCTGTACTTATTTTCATAATGGCATTTATAATGCCACATTGTCACGCTTGTTGATTTGTCAGACCTCCACAAGGAGCTCCTTGAGCCCTGGGACTGTTTATCATTATTGGATCCCCAGTGCTTACCAGTGTGAGCTGGGTATGTACCTCAGGGCTAGAGCACTTGACTAGTGTATTCAAGGCCCTCAGTTTGATCCCCACAATCACACACATAACAAAACAAAACAAAAAGTTATTGGGAAAGGGAAACTTTTCTTGTTCTATCTTATGTCAGTTTAAATTTTAGGCTTGGCCACAGCTCAAGAGGGTAGAGAAAAAATTTTATCTCCTCTAAAAAATCAATTTAGAGGGCTGTGGTTGTGGCTCAGAGGTAGAGCGCTCGCCTACCATGTGTGAAGCCCTGGGTTCGATCCTCAGCACACATATAAATAAAATAAAAATAAAGATATTTTAAAAACATTTAAAAATATCAATTTAGAAAGTTCTAACCAGTATTGTTTCTTCAACTGAATAGAAAAAAGCAGAGCCTGATGCTTAATAGATGTAAATATGTCTTTAATTAGCTTGTGCTGCCATAATAAAATAAAACAGACTGGGAGGCTTAAACAATAGACATTTATTTCTCATAGTTCCAAACAAAGATGCCAACAGACTTGATTCCTAATGAGGGCCTCTACCTTCTTGCTGTATGCTTTCATATGCCCTTTTTTTGTTTGATCCTGGACAAAGTCCCTTTTTATAAGGGCACTAATCCTTTCATGAAGATTCTACTTTTGTAACTTTGTCTAAACCTAATTCCCTTCTTAAGACCTCCTCTCTGAATACAATCACATTAAGGATTAGGGATTTAACATAAATTTGGAAGGGGTACAATCAATTCATAATATGTTCCATGATAATTATTTTTCTGAAAAGTGTGTATATGTATGCATATATAATATAATAAATGTAATATATATAATAAGTTTGAAAACCACTAATCTAATCAATAATGAGGGGCTAAAGTATCACACATTGTCCTTCTTGTCCCTGTATTTGGGATGGGTAAGGCAAAAGAATATTGGTATAATTATTTCCCCAACTGTAAATGATAGTGAAGAAAATAAGCCCCTCCCTTTATTTTCTATTCTGAGGCTGTATTATTTATTTGAAATTTCTCTTCTTGCATATGATTCCCTCTTTATATGGAAATAGCAAAAATTCTAGGGATCTGGAGGTGAATTATATTTGGATTAGCCATTTCCCCTCCTGTGCTCAGAGCCCATGTGTTGTTTTCTTATTGTCCACTAGGTGGTACTAGGAAGGTCCGATGTTTACAAATTATCCTATCCACAGATTGTACTTGTTTTCAAAGTAGCAGATTTATTCTGCTAGATTATCTTTTCTCTTTAGGCTCCCAAGCATTTCAGGAGAGAATGTCTAGATCTTGTTCCCCTCCCTAAATATAACCTAAATGAGCAAATTGAGGATTGAGAATATGGGATCAAGAGAGTACATTTTTGGGATTAGGTATGTAGCTCAGTGATATAGTACTTGCCTGGAATGTATGAGGCCCTGAGTTTGACCTCAGAACTGATTTGAAAAAAAAAAAATACATTTTTTTTGGGGGGATGTCAATTCTGCCACCTGTCAATGATCAGGAATGCTTTCAATTTCCCCCTGGAATTTAAAGATACTAAATTGAAGTGAAAGGGATAGAAGTCATACTCCAAAGTGAATAACTAGCTATGTCAGGGTAATAGAAATGGCTGAGAGAGGTAAAAAAGGCAAAATTAAGGGATCTCTTTCTTGGTTCTCTGGTTTGAATATGTCCCCAAAGTTCTCGTGTTGGAAACTCAGTCCCCAATGCCATAGTGTTTAGAAGTAGACCCTTTAATAGGTGATTAGGTCAAGAGGCATAAGCCCTCACGAATAAATTAAGGCTATTATTACAACAGTGGTTTAGTTATTGAGGGATTTGGTTTCTAATAAAAAGGGGATTGGACTCCCACCTTTCATGTGCTCTCTTGCTCTTCCACCTTCCCTCATGACACAGCATGACAGCCCTCCATCTTGGACTTCCCAGCCTCCAGAACTGTAAGAAATAAATTTCTTCTTAAAATTCCCAGTTTTGGATATTCTCTTAGAATAAAACAAAATAGACTGATTATTGGAAAAGCAACATGTCATGAAGATTGAGTAATTCAGCATTTTTTCCCCATTTGTTTGCTTTTGTTTTTGTAGTACTAGTGATGGAACCTAGGTCCTTGTGCATGCTGGGCAAGTGCTCTGCAATAGTTTGGATATTGAATCCCTGCATCTCAAGGGCCAATGTATTGAAGGCTTGGTCCCCAGTCCATAACACTATTAGGAGGTAGTAGAAACTTTAAGAGCTGGAGCCTAATGGAAGGAAGAAGATATTGAGAATCTCCACCTTTCCTCTTTCTCTCTGTTTCCTGGCTGCCATGAGGTAAGGAGCTCCTCTGACACAAATTCCCTCCATGTTGCAAAATGCCACCACTGTCCCAAAAGCAAAAGGACCAGGCAAACATGATGTGGGACCTCTGAAGCTGTGAGCCAAAATAAACCTGTCTTTATAAGATGATTTATCTCAGGTATTTGTTATAACAAATAACAAGAGAAAGAGAAAGCTGACTAACACATGCTCTACCACTGAGCTACAACCCCAGCCCTGGAAGACATTTTTTCAGGAGCCTTCCTTAGGCCAGGAGAATACAATGTTGCCTAAGTTTTGGTACCCCTTTTCTAGAAGCTCAAAGAAAACAGATGTAAACACCCAACTTGATATTCTATTAGGGGCATATACAGGGTGCTCTGAAGGAGAACAGGTATCACTAAATCATGTATAAAATTGGGGATAAGGAGGTGGAGATTAGAGCAGGCTTCCCAGAGGAGATGACATGCTGTAGGCTAAAACTGAGTCTGGAAGGATGAATAGAAGATCTCGAACATCCTAAATCCCTACCCCGCAAGGTTATGTTTTGCTGAAGTCTTGGCAATTTAATTTACTCCTGGGATTTCAATAGTTACCTTTGTGTTAATAACTCCCAATCTTTTTCTACCCCAGTCAGCTCTCTAAAACCCACTCATCAGATTTCTCTCTCTCTCTCTCTCCCCCCGCACAGGCAAAGTACAGACTATTGAAAATGGAGGTAAGAGTAGCACTCTCTAAGGTAGAGTGGAGAGGACCAACCAAGAAAGAGAGATTCAAGGTCTTATTTGCGTGGTGGTACTTCAAATTAAACTTGTCGAAAACCAAACACTGAAAGAAGCCTGAGGGCACGAGGTTTTATGATAATTATATATTTTTTATTCTTAT